GAACAGTGGTTTCTGTATAATCTCCTTGTCTATAAAAGCTTTGTTTATATTATCACATATAATAAAAGCCAATAAGGTACAACATGTTAAGTCCAATGGAGACAGAAGAACAAAAGCTTGATGGGACTTCAAAACAAGATGATATTAAATCAGCACTAGCTATTATGATGTCTTGTTTTCTCCAAAATAGCTGTTCCTACCATCCAATCTTCTCTGCCTCATTTCTGTTGAGATCTTTTTCTGTCGTTTGTTGTCAGTTTGTCTTCTTCATTTCACTTTCTACTCCATTCATTGTGGCCTCTCTGCCACTGTTTCTGGAATCTTGGTATTTTTCTTTTTTAGAATGACCTGCAGTATTCTCTGTAGAGTTGAATTGGTGGTTGCAAATCACCCTAGTTTCTCTTTATCCTGGAAGCACCTTGTTTTTTCCATCAATTTCTAGGGACAGTTGTGCAGGATATAACAATCTTGGCTGGAGGTTATTATCTTTCAAAGCTTGAATTATTTCCCCGCATGCTCTTTGTGATTTGATGTTTTGTGCCGAGAAGTCTGCTGTAATTCTGATGGGTGTTCCCTTGTAAGTGATCTGTTTCTTGTCTCTGATGACTTTTAATATTCTGTTCTTATATTGGATTTCTGGAATTTTGGTTATTACGTGGCTGGGTGTAGTTCTGTTTGTGTTGTATTGTGGCTGGAGTCCTGTATGCCTCATACATCTGAGTATCTTTACCTTTTGCTAAATTATGGAAATTCTCTTGGATTATTTCTGTGAATAGCTTTTGTAGTTCATTTGTTTGTGTCCCTACTTCTTCTTTTATGTTCTTAATTCTTAAGTTATAGATCCTCTTATCATCTTCTAGCCTTTGCATTATTGCTGTTTGTTTCCTTGTTATCTTTAAGAAGTTTTTCATTTCATACTCCCACATTACAAATCTGTCCTCCAGTTCAGATAATCTATCCTTAGTTTCTTTCAAGCTGTTATGCCAGCTTTCAATAGAGTTTTTAGTTTCCTGGTAATCTCTTTGAACCTGCTTCACATAGTCTATGTTTTCTCTATTTTCTCCATTAAACAATTCTCCCCTTTTTTTTTCTGTTCTTCCATTCCACCATCTGTTTTTTCTTGGGTGGTGCTTATCATTTCTCTAACTGTTCTACTTATAGCTTGCTTTAAATGGTTAAATACTTCACTTTTGAACTCGTCTATGAGGCTCCAGAGATATCGCTTTATGTCTATTGGTGCCGTGCCTGATATTGCATGTTTTCTGTCCTCATTCTCTTTTGCATTTACCTTTCCTGGATCAGTGTTCTCAGGATTGGGGGCTGAGGACCCTTTCTTCTTGCTCCCTCTCCCCATACTTTTTGTTCCTTCCTTACAAGTGTAGATAGGAGGCCCAGTTTCTTTCTGTGTCAGTTACAGTTTGTTTGAATTGTGCGGGCTAGGTGTTCCTGTCCACTGCAGTGTACTGTGGAGACACAGACCTGGGTAGCCTCTGCTGGGCCCACCCCTCCAGGTCAATGTACTGAAGGCTTCACTGCTAGGGTGCACCACCAGGTGCAGGGACCTAGTTTGGGCTAGCCTACTGGGTCTCAGCCTGTGGCGTTACTCAGTCCAAGTGCTCCCCACAATCCTGCTTGAGAGGGGAATGTGTGACTAAAGTCACTCAGCACCCTGTTCTGGCTAGTCTGCCCAGTCTCAGAATGTCCTCTGTTGGAGCCTCCTAGTCTATGGAAGGGTCCCCATTCCTCTCACTCACTGCAGGTCAATGCAGGGCTCCTTGCCAATCCCACTCTCAACTCCGTTTGCCGATTCCCCTCTCAGAGCTTTCACATCTCTGTCCCTTCAGTGCTGAATCAGATGCAGCAGCAGTGGCAAGAAATTCAAATTGTGGTTTCCAGAGGCGCAGGTTGCAGCTTCAGTGCTGAGATTTTATCTGTTCCATTTATAGCACCAGGACTGCATTTCCAGTTGGTTTCTTTCTGCTTAGTTCATTACTGGGTGGGCAGGGTATATCTCCCCTTGCTTAGGACTCCTCACATTGCACCATTCCTGGATTCTAAGCTGGCTATCTCAGAGAGCCTCCGTAGCTGCTGTTATCTATCCACCATGTTCTCCCAGAAGTCTAACATTTCATTTTTAACAGAAACTTGTACATATGGCTCATTTGTCCTTGGACACTATGCACATAAAAAGGAATAGGTTACAAATAATGATTTTAAAAGTCAGGTACAGGCTAGGAATATAGCTTATCACTGAAGCATTTGCACAGCTTGTGCAAAGTTCTGAGTTCAATCCCCAGAACTATAATCAATCAATCAATCAATCAATGTTAGAAATTGTGTCACAACTTTAAGTCAAATAATTTTTCTATATATGACATTTTGGTATGGAAATGCTCTGTATTGTGTAGATGTGTGTATGTGTGTGTGTGAGAGAGAGAGAGAGACAGAGAGAGTGACAGTTGTGTATATAGCTGTGCAGAGGACAGCACTGATGAATTGCTGGTAAAAGTTTAAAAACGAAAATTCCATCTACTGCGAGGTGCGTCCTGACACTTTCTTCCTGGGTGCTTTCATGTCCTGTCTAATGTTGTGGCCACTCTCCTTTGCAGCCTTAAAGCAGGAAGCAGTTATTTACACCCAGTCTACCCTTCCTTCTGTACAGATGAAAGAAAAGCAGTTCACACAATGCCTTCTTTAAAAAGCAAATTATTTACTATTGTTATTTAAATGAAGTCTTGCTCTGCTGCTCAGGCTGACCTCCACCTCCAAGGCTCCATTGATCCTCCTGCCTCAGCCACCTTCCCAGTCAAAGATAGCATATCTTTTTTGTGTGAGGGTTTTTTTTTTTTTTTTTTTTGGCACTGCTGTGGGTGAAACTCAGAGCTTTGTATATACTAGACAAGTGCTGAACCACTAAATTACATTTTTAGCCCTTCCTAATCAGTTTTTAAATTGTATTTATTTATGATAGTTCAATCCTTGTATGCAACATGTGTAATGATCAAATTGGACCAGCAACACTTCTAACTCTCTAAATTAAAAAAAAAATGAGGTATGCGGATGCTTAAAAAACAGCTGACCTCAGTGTGTGTTATTGGTTACTGGAGACTGGGAAGGGTGGAGGGAGGTTGGGTAAAGGGCTCAGGTACATGGCAGGAGGAGTAAGTTTTATGTCTCACAGCATGGTGTGTCTGTTCCTGGGTTATAGGTTGTAAAGATCTAGAAGGGAGAAGCTCAAAGGCTCCAAACAAGAAGAAATGATGAGATGGAAATGTGAATCACCCTGATTTGATGGGCAGCACATAGTGTGGTGGTTGCTGGAACATTGCGCTGTTCCCTGTGAGTGCCTTTCTGGAGTGACAGCATGTTGCCCCAATCACAGAGACCACCGGATGCTCTGGCCCCGCCCACCAGCATAGCAGGAGGTCTGATGATTCCAGCCTCGCTTGCTACTCATGTCCTCCGTGGGAAAGACAAGGGCGATAGCCTCCTAGCCCCGCATACCGTGGTTGACATCGCTCTGGAAGGTTTTCTCACCAACCCTGAAACTGCTGTGGGGCCCAACTTTGAAAATAGGCCTAGTGAGATAAAGAAATGTATTTTTTTGTTCACACTGATCCTGAATGGATCTTTTCAAATCTTGGAATGTATGTGGAAACTCCTTGGATTCCTGAAAAAGTAGAACATGCTTGCCTGTGTCCTGAGAGTGCACTGGGCAGTGTGCGTGTCTTTTACACACTGATCATGTAACACTTATGAGTAAACCCATCTATTATCTGAGGAAACTTCTGAGCTTCAGAAATTATCTGGCAATTTTGCATAGTGAATGATAAGCCAGGGAATCTCTTCAGATCCTCTTGTGAGGGAAGTTTGCTCAGAGTTCCTGGATAGCAGTGACCAAATGCATTATAGGTGGGTTGTTTCATCTCTCTGGGCAAAATGAAACTTCTGAATAGAGGTTGAGATAAAAAAAAATTGTCCAGGACAAGGACTCATCCATCCATCTGTGCACCTACCTATCTGTCTATCCATCCACTGACCCAATCACCCATCCACCTGTGCAACTCTTTGCCCATTCATTCATTTGTCCATCTACCCATGCATTTGTGCATCTGTCTGCCCACCCATCTGTCCATTCATCTGTTTATCCATCTGTCTACCTGTCCACCTATTCACCCACCCATCTCTCTATCTGTCTGTCCATTCATCCATTGGACAAACTTGAAGAGCACAGGAGGTGCAGACTGATGATAAAGAGGCCCCTCCACACAACCATTCCACAACAGTGCAGAAGTGTCCAAGAGCACAGCTCCAGGTGACCACAGCCTTGGAGACAGATGCTGGGAGTGGCCTTCACTCTTGAGATGTGGTTGGAAAGTGGCCATCCCTGAAATGGACATGGCAGCAGAGAAACTGCAGGCATGATGATGATGAGTGGCCAGCAATGCCCTGACTCCTGGGTGTGTGGGAAGGATGGTTGCACTCTGAGGACTGGGCACCAGGCTGGGAAGTCGTAGTCACAGGAACTTCTGACATAGGCAGTGGGACCATGGCAGTTGTGTTCTGCTTCCTGCCTGCATGGGAAGTGGACAGGGTACCTGAGCACTCCTGTGGACCGTGGAGGTCATGGGATGCAGAAGCCCTTTGGAGTCAGGTGCAAAAATAGTGCCTCTTTTGGAACCCCTTTCTTTCTTCTGTCCCATCTTTTTTGTGGGATTGGGGATTGACGCCATGGCCTTCACACTTTAAACTTTTTATTTTGAGAGAGGATCTCTCCAAGTTGCCTAGCCTAGTCTGGACTTGCAGCCTTTCTGCCTCAACCTCCCAGAGTGCTGGGGTTACAAGTGTGTGCCACCACACCTAGCCTGTTCCATTCCTTTTGAAAGTAGCTGAAAAGGGGCCGAGGTTGTAGCTCAGTAACAGAGTGTGTGCTTAACCTGTGCAAAACCTTGGGTTTGATTCTCAGCATCAAATGAATGAATGAATGAATAAGCCAAAGATTTAAGGTGAAAATGACTTTTAAACAACAGCAGCCACACTTCTAGATGCGTTTCTCTCCTCCCTCCACCTGCTCAGTGGTGGTGATGGCCATGAAGGTCCTTGGGGCCGCAGCTCTCAAGTCTCATGCTCGCAGGTCCTTGGACTCCTCTGGGGTCAGCTTCATCAGCTTGTCCACGCAGAGCAGGATGAGGGTGAGAAACCAGAGGCTCCACCCTACAGCGGCCGCGATCCAGCCGTATTCGTCCACACCTGAGCGGCAACACCGGGCTGCTTGGGGGCAGAAGTCGATGTCTGGTGGGGAGGGGACAACAAGAACAGGGTGCATCACTCTACTTGCCAGCTCTTCTTCCAGTATCAGCAAGAACAAGAACAGTGAACAATGAACAGTGTGAGAGCTGACATTGGAAAGCCCCTGCTGTGGACCACACACTGTAGGATGTATTTCTTACAAGAGATGGGTATGATTATTATTTGTTTGGTGCTAGGGATTGAACTCAGGGGCTTGAGCAGGCGTGCATTCTACCGCTGAGCCACACCCCCAGCCTGTGATTGGTACAATTATTATTCTTATTTTATGAGAAGAAATTGAGAATGTAATTTGCCTATGGTTACAAGATGGCAGAAGTAGAGCTCAAGCCCAAGTCTGTGGGAGTTAATATGATTAACTAACATATCTTATTGCCTATTACACTTCTTTTCCAGTATCCAGAAGTAAACATATTTGATCATTCAGTGATGGCAGGATAGGGGGGCCTTACTATAAGTAAAAATTTCTACTAGTTAGATGTTGCTAGTTAGTGGTTGTTTTGTGAAATACTAAGCTCCTTGCCTCTAAAGATAACTAAGTAGAAGATGAACAGAAATAAGCAAAGGATATTAAAACCAAGCTCCTGCCTTGGGCAAAAATTGGTTAATGACTGTATGGATGTCCTACTTCTAAACTTCTACAAACATTTGAGCCCAGGGTGTGGACAAAAGGACAAGTCATTAAAGCCATCAGTGCCAATGCTCATGAGCATAGACTGGGATCAAAGCCAAAAGAGCTTTTCAATTCGCTCAGCAAGCAATGCTGGGATGAGCCACTGAGCCACTAGAGCCCCAGGCAGATGGGACAGGCACTCAGCCACCTGACATGGGTCAGCTGACAGCGAGGGCTCTCCTGTCCCTTGCCCTGCTCTCTGGCCAGCCCTGGGGCAAGGAAAGTGGGAAGAGAAACTTACTTGAGCAGTGCTCTAGAGTCCCCGGGTCTGCATGGGGGGCCGTTAGGGTTGAGTTTCTGCTGCTCCTGGCTTCTGAAAGAAAAGACAGGAGATGGTCTCAGGCTGAAGAGTCCTTTCCAGACACAAGGTTTGCAGCCTTGTCTGTAAATCAGTGGTGAGCACTATGTTATAAACGTTCTAGTGTAGGTATAATGAACTCATGCAGCGAAGAAAGATTACATGCAATTAGAAACGAATTATGTCCCCTCCTAGTTCCTCTGCTGAAGTCCTAACCCCCAGTGTGACTGTAGGTACAGAGAGGGCCTATGAGGAGGCGAAGTGAACAGAGGTCACGTGGGCATGTCCCGATGCAGTGCAAGTAATGTCCTCACAAGAAGAGGACGTGACACGGTGGGGGTCAGAGGCACAGAGGACAGGTGAGTGAGGACACAGTGAGATCAGCAGCAGCAGAAGAGGAAGCCACAGGAAAAATCAAGCCTGCTCCCCCTTGATCTTGCAGATTCCAAAGCCTTGAGTAAACAGTTGTTGAGGTCCCTCATCTGTGGAGTTTGTTTTGGCAGCTTGAACCAGCCAGCATGCTTCTCACTTTGTACCACTCGCTTCTCACTCACATGCTCTTTCTATAGTTTCATTGCTTTTCAGTGACCTCCAGCTTGCTCTTAGAGCTTTCTAAACACTGTTCTTTAGATGCTTTCTATGCAGTTGGACATAGCCGTAAAATGGCTTTTTTACCTGGACCTGGTGGCACACAACTGTAATATCAGCCCTCAAACGGCTGAGGCTGAAGGTTGTTTTGAGTTTGAGGCCAGTTTGGGCTACGAGTGACTTCAAAACCAGCATAAAACCATGTGATGAGATCCTGTCTCGAAAAAATAAAATGACCAAAAACATCTTTCTAGTGTTTGTTGAAACAAACATGGAAATATCTGGAATGTCTTCTCTTATTATCTTCAATTCCTTTCAAGAAAACTTGGACAAATACTCTTTAAGACATGACCTTAGCCAGATGTGGTGGCACAAAGTTGTAATCCCAGCATTTGGGTGGCTGAGGCAGAAAGATTGCTTTGAGTTTGAGGCCAGCCTGGGTTACAAGAGCAAGTCCAGCCTGTATTACTTAGTGAGACCCTGTCTAAAACCCCTCCAAAAGGCCCCCCAAAATATAACTTTGATTCATTTCCGATGGTTATGATGTTGTTACCCAGGCATATACTTATTAATAAAAATTAAATCCATTTTAGCAAGTACAGATATTGTTAGAATATGCAGCACTGAGAATTGTTCTTTGATTCATAAGCAGGTGATAAAAAAGAACCTTAGCAGGAATTCTGAAAGGTCTATCAGAGTTTAGGCTCAGAGAGGGGCTGGGTTATGGAAGTGACTAAGTGTTAGAGGAAGAAAAGCCTCAGTCCCATGCTCTCTGGATTTGACTTAATGACAGCTTTTTACCATTTTTTCCCATCACTGATAATAAGGGAAATGATCCATTTTGTCTGATATCAGCCCCTAGCTACTTGTGGCTATTTAAATCTATTAATGGGCTGGGGATTTAGCTCAGCTGTGTAAGTGCCTGCCTAAAAAGCATGAGGTTGTGAGTTCAATCCCTGGTACCAAAAAAAAATTTTTTTTAACTTATATTTTTAAAATTTTTATTAATGCATATTTGTAATACATCATGATTTATCATGGGGAATCAATACATGTGCTTACCTTAATTCTTTTTATATCCTCTTAAGTTAAAATTTTGGCTCATTGGTCACATTAACCACATATCAGGTGTGGATGGCTGCATGTGACCAGTGGCACACCTCACATATGTGGGACACTAACACCACCAAAGAGAGTTCTGTTAGCACTAATGCTAGGGAAATCACCAGAACCAAGAGACTGATTTTGAAGGACACTTCTGGAAATTATACTCCTGTTCAATTTGCTTCCTTAGGGGTCAACAAGGAGGAGAAAGAGAAGAGGAAGAGGAAGAGGCGGATGATCACAATAAAGACAGAGAACTCTCAGTGCCCCACTGGCTGGGGTCAGGTTGGCCTCCTGGGGTGCCTGTGGTCATAGTGCAGGACAAACTGGGAAGAAAGCTGTCATTAAGTCAAATCCAGGAAATTGCTGTGCAGACTAATTTTATGCTACTCAATCTCTAAGCCACTCCATGGTCCTGGTTGAGGTATAGTAATTGCCTCCATGCAATCTGGTTGTTACTGTAAATTATTGACAACTAAAGGTCTTAGGGCTGGGGCTTTGTTTTGGAGAAATTGATATCAACATCTAAACTTTCCTCCTACACCATGGCCTGACTTTCATCTCCCCTCCACAGCTACAGGGGTAATGTTGCCCCATCCAGAGCAAATGAATGGAAAACATCTAGTTAATCAACACTAGTATTAGGTGAGCTCATTTGAAATTACCATTTTTATAGGTTGGAAATCATTCCATATCAGCAGTTTTATACAGTCCAAGGGGAACAGCCCAGGTGAAAGTTCCAGACATCCCATTTCTCCCTGGTAAGCGGACCCAGCCAGGGACATAGCACCTGGGGAGACCCCACAGGTCAGTGCCACAGGGCCAGTACTTTTGTCAAAAATTTTTGAGCCTTTTTTTTCTTTAAGTGATGTATTGTAAGGGTAACCAGAAAATAGTTAAAGTCCCTTGTTTAGGGAGAGGTGAAGTTGGGTAATAAGAACAACTTGCTAAAAAGTGGTAACAGTCACGTGTGTTTATCACATGCTGTTTTGTTGTTCTTTCTAATCGGTCATCTCATTTTCTCTTTGCAAACAAACCTAAAAGTCACCGCTGTGTGTATCCTTGGACTACTAATGAGGAAACTGTGGCACAGAGCGGTGAAGTAATTTGCTCAGAGTCACACAGCAGGCAGCAGTGGGAGCTGGGGTGGATTTGGGGGTTGGTGGTCTCGGGGTCCACCTCTGTACCCTGAGTGCCCTGGTGGTGGCTGCGGGATGGGTTCTGGGCTGAGCAGTTCAGGCAAAGTCCTTGAAGGCTTTTAGGGGCATCTGTCCAGGAGCAAGGCAGACAGTGACAAGACCACAGTCAGATGTAGGAGTGTGGGGGGCCTGCTTGGAGGGGCAGGGCGAGCAAGGAGGGTGGGCTGGTCGAGGGTATGGGGAGGCTGGGACAGGGGTGGGCAGTGTCCAGACTTGGTGGCTTAGCAGAGCTTGGGGCAGCAGGGATGAGGACCTGGAGGAACCTTTACCAAACTGTCATTTATTGGTTCTCTGATGGGTAGGATCCTGGTGCGCATGCTCTCTCTCTCTCTCCCCATCTCTGTCTCTGTCTCTGACTCTCTCTGTCTCTGTTTCTATCTCTCTCTGTGTCTCTTTGTCTCTGCCTCTCACTGTGTCTCTCTGTCTCTCTCTCTGCCTCTCTCTCTCTCTCTCTCTCTCTCTCTCTCTCTCTCTCTCTCTCTGGGTGTGTGGTAGGGGAGTGTCCCCTGTCTGAGCTGAGTGGAGCATTTGACCTCGGGCTTGAGCAAACCCGACGCCCGCACCGATCCCACCCCACTCCCTGCCCAGCCTTCCCAGGAGGTTCTGTTTTTCTCTTTGCTCTGTGAAGGACTAGGCTGCGCGGGAGTCCTCGTCCTTGTCCTTCCCCGCCCTCCCGCTCCCGGCAAGGCCAGGAATAAAGCTAGGATTTACCTGAGCGGTCCGGGGAGCAGGAGGCCAGGACCAGGCTGAGCAGCAGGGCGGCCCGCGGGGCGGAGGTGAGGCGCGCCGAGCCCATGCCGAGGGGGAGGCTCCTGGGTACCGGGTGCGCTGCGTGCGCTCCGCGCTGTTGAGATGGAAAGTCCTGAGCTGGAAAACTTCTGCTCCGCGTTCCGGGGAAAGAGGGGGTGGAGCCAAGGAAAGCTCTGCTGTCACCGCAGCTCGCACCTGGCTGGCAGGGAGAGCAGCTGCGCTGGCAGAGGAAGGAGGGGGAGTCGCGCCCTTTCTCCTGGACAGAACCTGTCCTCACTGGGAAAAGACGAGAGCGTGTCTTGGGGACCAGTTTGCTGCCTCTTGCATGCGCGGAGAGGCTGACCTCCCTGCTCCGCTCAGTCCAGCAGTCACTGAGCACCTGCTTGCGCGCTGCTGGTGTGAAGTCTACCAAACCCTGCTCTGAGTCGCTCCAGCCGCGGACTCAGACTAGCGTTTGGGGGAATGACTCGGAAGGACCAAGTGCATTGGGCTCAGCAGCAGGAGGACACATCTGCTGTGGGATGCGTGACGCAAACAGCGTTAGAGTTGGATGCCTAGGGGTTTGGCAGGTGGAGAGAAGCCGACATTGTGGGTTGGAGGGGCGGGAGAGCGGAAGCCCAGCGGCCAGCGCTCATCAGTCCACTGTGAGCGCAGCACAGAGAGGCATAGGTGAGCCCAGGACCAGGAAAGGGGGATGAGAGTGCAGAACTGGGGAGACCAGGGTGCTGTGTGCCAGGCTGGGCTATGAGGCAATCAAATGGCAAAAGGAGGAGGCTTAGGAAGATTTGGAGCTGAGTAGTAATTGTACTAGAGCTCTGCTTCCGGTCTACGACATTTACAATGGTGCTCTGTCCTCCGTGGGGCTATCTTCCAATCCTCTCGGTGGATGCCTGAAACTCTGGAGATCACTGAATCCTAGAAACCCTAGGTTTCCCCCAGTGGAAATGCTTTCATATAATAAAGCTCAAATTACTTCCAGGGAGACGTTCACAACATAACCAATAACAAAACAGCAATTATAAGAATATGCTGTCATAAGCATTATTTAAAACTTTTGGGTTGTTTCTTTCTGGAATTTTCCACTGAATATTTTGAATTAAAGTTGACAGCAAGTAACCGAAGGTACAGGAAGCACAACAGCAGATAAGACCACAGCAGTGTATGGAAGGCTCCATGTGTCTGGAAGGCATTACCCTAGGCTCCATGTGAGGCTCACAGATGCCTGAGACATGGTCTCTGCCCTTCAGGAGAGAGTAGTGCAGGAGGGGAACTGAGCAGGGCAAAAAGAGTTTCAGTGCATTACAGCAAGACTGGAATACTGGCATCTTGCACAGTTACAGGAATGCAGGAGAGGGAATGATGCAATCTGCTGAGAGGTACAGGGAAGGAGGTGCAGAGGAAGCAGCTTTGGGCTGGGTACTGAAGTGTGTTTGCGCAGGTGGGTTGTCTCAGCTGCCTTGGGAGCAGATGGGTCACAGAAGTGCAACTCTGAGTACTCTATCTGTTACCTGTCCCTTCTTCTCTACTGCTGTTCACTGGCTCTGCTTCTGGGATGCTATGAACTAAGCATCTTTGTTTCGTTGTGCTCTTCTATCCTGATGTTTTTACTCGGAACTGTGGACTAAATTCCCTGAAACTGTGAGACAAATTAGGTACCTCCTTTTTTTTTGTACTGGGAATCAAACTCAGGACCTTGCACTTGTTAGGCAGGTGCTGTGTTGCTGAGGGAAATTCTCAGCCCAGACCTCTCCTTTAAGTTGGGGGCCTCGGGCTTTTTTTCCAGCCATGGGAAAGCTGATGAATACAGGTCTGGTAAGGGAATGAGGGATGGAGTTCAACCTTCAGATCTATCTGGAAGGGCATGTAGGCCACAGACAAGTCCAGAATAAGGAGATCCTATTGTAGTTTGGCAGTGGGTGGAGGCATTTTCTTCTAGTTTCCTGAAAGGCACAAATTAGAGGTGGCTCTCTGTTTCAGGACTTGGGGATGGAGCAGAGGTGCTTTAGGAAAGGGTTTTAGGCAATGCATAAAAGTCCAATTCAAGCCCGCCACCAGTTGGACATTCACCAAGGAGCCACTGCACTCCAGGACCTGGAGCAAAGACTTTGAGATAAATAACACAACACAGACCCTGTCTTCAAAGAGTTGAGTCCAGTAAGGATGAGTTAGACGTTAAATAAGAACAATGCAACCTGAAATCAGAGTGTTGAGGTGATCTTGCAAAGGTTGGAAAATCATGGAAGAGGATTGTGAATCAGGGGACTCAGAGAGAATTTCGTAATGGAAATGGTATTTTTTGAATCCAAAACAGGAAAGATGTGTGGTTCACCAGGCACAGAAGGAAAGATGTGAGGCTACGGGGCATGAACACATGTCCTGTGTCTGGGGGTAGTGGATGACTTATAGTCCTGAGAGCTTGGAGTGGTCCTGAGTGCCAGAGAAAGGAAACTGGGCTTATCTCATGTGCATAACATGCATGTACATGTGGACACATCTGTGTTTCAGGAACAAGGAAGACAGGCCTGCATGCAGATCATCTAAGAAGCTATTGCAAAAGCCCTGCCAGACATCTCCAGGATCTGGGAGCAAGAAACTGGGTTGAGGGTAAAGAGAGGAGCAGCATTAGTAGGCATATAGAGACCAATTCCAGGAGGGAGTCCATGCTAAGGCGTCCAGGAAGGGGCCAGGGTATCTAGCGTAGCCTTGGGCACTGTCTAGGTTCAGCTTCCAGCTCTGCCTCTTCTTAGCTGGGTGGCCCTGGGCATATTACTTAGTGCAACAAGCTTTACTTTGCTTACCTGAAAAGAGCTGGGACAACAACCCCTACCCTGGGAATTGTCCCGATGACGCAGTGAACACTCCATGCCAAAAGTACTTAACATAGATGCTAAGTACACAGTAAATTCTAACCACTATCGCTATAAACACAAGACACCAGACACAGGAAGGATAGTGGTTTTAGAGAATAACAGTGCTGTTTATGTATTGATATGTTTGTATCCAGCCTTGTGCCACAAAAGGTTTGAGGAAGCTCATCTACTATTAATTGAAGTAGATAAAATGAATTTGAAATAAAAATAAATGAGAAGAGATGAATCAAAGGGAAAAATATAGGGTAAGAAATAAAAGTGGGTCATTAGAAATGATTGAGGGCTGGGGATTTAGCTCAGCAGCATAAACACCTGCCTGGCAAGTGCTAAGACATGAGTTTGATCCTCGGTACCAACCTCCCCGCCAGAAGAAAGAAAGAAATGATAGAGTACAAGATGTCATGCATATTTCCTGAGCTTTCTGCTAGCGAGGGTGAAGAGGGTAATATAATCATGCAGATGATTCTTGTGCTCAGAAGATGAAACTAGCAGAACCACTGCTGCTTGTGTGTGTGTGTGAGTGTGTGTGTGTGTGTGTGTGTGTGTGTGTGTGTGGTAGGGACTGAGCTTGGGAAGCACCAAGGTACATTCCCAGCCCTTTTGGAGGCAGGGCCTTGCTAAGTTGCCCAGGCTGGCTTCAAACTTGCAATTCTCCTGCTTCTGCCTCCCAAGTAACTGGATTATAGATGTACACTACCACACTGCACCACAGCTCACGACACTGTTAAATTAAATATCAGAAAAGGCCATTATTTTGGGCCAGGCTCTGAGTGTAAGGCCCAATAGGCCAGACTAAAAATCAAAATGGTATCACCAAACGAAAGTAAAACTGTCTGTCCGTCTTCAGAGTCTCAGGAGAGAGAGATTGGCCAAATTTCCCAAACAGGCCAGTTTCAATCCGCACATTAATTGTGTTTCTTCTGCTTTAATCCTCATCAAAAAAACCTCCGGTCCAATATTAACTTGTTGGTTGTTTTCCAATGGTTCCACCTCCCTGTCCATGTCTCACAAGGAAGCGAACTTTGAAATGACCCATCCGCCCTGCGCTTTTTCTAAAACCAACTCTTATCAGGCATGATGGTGCACCCTGTAATTCCAGCACTCAGAGGCTGAGGCAGGAGGATCGCTGTGTGCTTGAGGCTGGCCTTGGTTACATAATGAGTTCCAGGTCAGACTGAACTGCACAGTAGGGCCTTGTCCCAAAAACAACCAAATAAATAAATAAATAAGTAAATAAATAAAATAATATGAAAGTAAAATAAAACCAACTCTTCTGTGTAGTCCATTGGATACTTACTCTGCTTTGGGAATGAGGTGTTGTTCCAGTTCTAGAGTCACACATAAATCCAATCAAGACCTTTAAACTAAGTGGTTATAATCTTGTACTCTGACAATACCAAGCCTATAGAAGAATTTACCCTATAGCTGGAGATTCACCTTCCATGGAAAACACTGATAGTGCAGGGACATTGCTCTAATAGCATGGGTACTGTTCTCAGCATCGCCCAGCAAACTCCACTGTGAATTTCGTAGCCCAGACTGCTCCTGGATACCTATAAGACTTTCCAGGGTCCCTGAAACATTTGCAACCTGACAAAAATGTTCTTAGATCCAAACTGTGAGGTAGAACAGAAACAGAAAAAAGCTGAGCAGCATAAGTAATTGTTTTAGAAGCAAAGTTAATTCATTTCAAACGTTTAAATGCAAACCATATGGGATTGGGTAAATTTTAGTGTTGGATGTAGGCAGAGAGACATCGATAGATTCTCAGTGTCCTACCTGGGCTGTGGCGGAGGCTGACAGCCCTCCCTGTCCTAGCAGGGGACACTTCTCTGCTGAGGAGTGCTCATGGGGGGAGAAAGTGGGTTCCTCCCCCACCCTTTTCTTCTTACCATTGTCATTTGATTTGAGAGTCTGAGATTAGCTCTGTATGGGACAATTAAGAGACAAGTGTTCTCTTGTCAACAGATGGAAGTGCTTTGCTGAAGTGGCACAGACATGATGGATACTAATAACTCAGTCTCAAAAGAAAGGGCTACAAAATCACAGTCTTAGAATTATCACCACTATTAACTATTTGCAGCAGGTCTCTAGCTGAGAGATCATGGAACCAATCAGCTCATCCTGCATCTCTCCTGGAGAGCTGGCATCTGGTTTACTTTGGAGAAGTACTAGAAAGTTGCCTCTCTCAAAGCTTGATATTCTGCAGGGACTTTCTTAAGATTTTGTTTTTAATGCTGTAGATAGGTATTTGGTTACACATTTGAAAAGTTGCTGGGTATGGTTGTGAATGCCTGTGGAAGCCAGCACTCTGGGAGGCTGAGGCAGGAAGATCACAGATTCAAATCCAACCTGGAGAATTTAGGAACTTAATGAAATTCAGTCTCCAAAACCAAAGAGGGGTGGGATAGAGATGTAGCTCAGTGTAAACACCATGGGCTCAATCTCCAGTACTAGGGAAAAAGAAAACAAGTCTAGGCCATTACGTTGTGGTGGTTAGAGTTAGTTTAAATCAAGGTAACAGATGTGGGTCTAGCTTTAACCTTTGGCATGTGGGAAGTCAGTTTTTCC